TCCCTTTGTTCTCTGTGCATTTCTGATCTGCTCCATTTGTTTTTGCAATGGTTCCTGCATGCTTCCCTTACAGCTTGGGTTTGGGATGGTTGGGGGGGTTGTTTCTCTGCTCTGATAGGTCTTGCAGATCCTTTCTCCAAGGGTTTGTGCTGGCCGGTTTGCTCTAAAATACAGGTTAGACTCAAGTCTCTTCCCCCCCCCTTACCTTCCCTCTCTCTCTCTATGCTCCCCAGGTACTTGGTATGGTTTAAAAGGTGTTTTGTTTAAAAGGTGCTTGGTATGGTTTAAAAGGTGCTTGATTTAAAATGTGTTGGTGTAAAATTGTTCCCCATTGTTCCCTCCCTCCCTCCTTTCCTGTTTTTTTTTTAAATCTAAGTCATCTTAGGTTTTTTTAGAAAATCTCCCTCTAGTGGTAGAGGATGGATTAACTGGTTTTACATTAGTTCCTATGGGAACTAATGCTTCGACTTACAAACGGCACCTCTACATACAAGCAAATAACAGCCAGAACGGATTAATTGGTTTTCAATGCATTCTTATGGGAAATGCTGATTCGACCTACAAACGTTTCGACTTAGAATATCTTCTGGGACTGTGATTGGGTTCTTCTAAAATTGGTGACGATTCCTTCATTTTGGCGGGAATGAGAGACGGGGGCGATTTGAACTGTTCAGCAACCTTAACTTTATTTTCATCAACTTCTGGGTTAACAAGATTAAACAGATTCAAACAGCTTAATTCTGGATTCATTCTATAACTCAGTGTCTTCGAGTCTGGTGTAAATATTTCACTCCTCTTTTTGGGGCTGGACCAAAGCACTCGCGGCCGGTCATCGGTCTCATTGGGGTACTGCTCACAGCGCACACCATCCCACAACACAGGTGTCTTGCCCAATCCCCCTCCAGGGATGGGTTGTTGCAGGAGGGACTGGGACGGACCACTTTCCTCCCTCCACTTTATTCGCGGGGGTAAACCACGACCATCCATTCGTGGTTTCACCACTTTCCCATCACCTCAGGGAGAGGCAGGATCTGGTAGCAGTCCTCCTCCCAAGATTGGGAAATTATCTCAACAGATCACAGACTTTACTAGCTGTTTCGTCCGCTTCATCTGTTTGCACCGCGCTGTCTCTCCTGTTTCTCTCTTTCATGTCAGTTTTCCCTCTAAATACCTGAGCATTGCTCCCCTTTTATAACCTCCTCCCACAATATCAGATGCATTGCTCCCCTTTTATAACCTCCTCCTTGCTCCTCCTCTTTGTCTCCCTCCTTGTCTTCCGCTAAGCATATCTCTATCGCCCTTCCGCCCTTCGCCTCCTCTTCCTCTATCTTTATGAGTTCCCCCTCTGCGCCCTTCACCTCCTCTTCCTCTATCTTTATGAGTTCCTCCTCTACACATCCGAAGGTCTCCTCTTGTCTATCCTCTGCTGAGGCTGGCACACTAGCCTTTTGTCCTTCACAGGGACGGATTAAGTTTGTCTATCCTCTGCTGAGGCTGGCACACCAGCGTTTTGTCCTTCACAGGGACGGATTAAGTTTGTAAGTAGAGGCACCACTGTATTCAACCAAAATCTGGCTTCCTGTAACCTGAGCTCATTGTTGCGTGTCCTGCACTCTGGGATGATCAAGAACAGATCCAGCCCCTCCTCTGTATGACAACCTTTCAAGTATTTGAGAAGTATTATCTTATCACCCCTCTGCCTTCATTTCTCAGTTCTAAACATGCCCAATTCTTTCGTTCTTTCCTCATAAGGATTGGTTTCCAGCCCTCTGATCATCCTTGCCGCCCTCCTCTGAACTGGTTGCAATCTGTAAGCATCCTTCTTGCATTGTGGTGTCCAGAAGTGGACACAATACTCAAGGTGACGCCTAACCAGTGCTGAATAGAGTGGAACTAGCACCTCGTGGGATTTGGCAACTATACTTCTGTTAATGCAGCCTTAAACAGCATTTGCCTTTTTTGTAGCCACATCACACTGTTTGCTCATATTCGGCTTGTGATCTATGACGATTCCAAGATCCTTCTCACTTGCACAGGCGTACCTCAGTTTATGAAATCAATGTGTCCTCTGGGATGTTACGTAAGGTGGAAATTTCGCAAACCGATACACGGATTGCGCTGGGAATGGGGGCGGTGTTAAACCTCTAGGCTCAATGCGTCCTGGGGAAACCCTTTCGTACAGCACGGGGGGGGAGAGAAAAAAAGTAAACCGGGGCATTATTTTCTATGGATTTCGGTTTGTAAACCGAAAATTATGTAAACTGAGGTACCACTGTAGTTGTAACTGTGCATTTGGTTTCTTTTTCTGAGGTGCAGTACTTGGCACTTTTTCCTGTTGAATTTCATTGTGTCGTTTTTTGCCCAATGCTGCAGCCTATCAAGATCATTTTGGATCAATCTATCAATCTATTTATCTTATCCAGAGTTTTCAGCATCCACCGAGGGGGGGGGCTTGGAACCAGTCCCCAGTGGATATGGGGGTCCCACCAATCATTTTCAAACTGTGCTCTATCCTTCTCAAGCACCAAAGTACATATCTGTCCCTTTGGATTTAAAGTATTGAACAGCTATGTGTAACACAGAAAGAGCCGTGAAACAAGGTTGCCCACCCATCAAATGCAAGAGCTTGTGCAAACATAAAAGCTGAAAATAAAATTCCTGATGTGCAGGACAATAGTTCCTAACCTTGGGTACCAAGGTTGGGAACCACTGGGAGTTGCATTGCAACCCCCAGAAACCCCTGCCAGCACAGTTGGTGGTGAAGGCTTCTGAGAGCTGCAGGCCAAGAATATCTGAGTGGGAATTAATCTTCTAGGAAAGTCTTCACAATGGCTGACAGGGCTGGCCCAACTCTCAGAGGTACCTGAAACAATTCTCTCGCTCCAGACTTTCGGGATGACAAGTCCTGTAATGTAGGGCTTCACACTTTTCTCACCATGTAAATTTCTCCTTATTCCATAAAAGTGAATTGTGAGAAGTATATACTGTACTCACTTTCATGCACTGGAGAAAATGCCGTGTGCAAGAAACATGTTTGTGGAGGAAAAGAATTAATCTCCACAGAAAATTCTTGTTCTATATCGATTGTGAGGTCCTCCCCGGACATGGTTCTCTCAGCTGGAGCAATTTTCCTTCTGGTTCCATTCACTTCCATGGAATAAGAAAAGAGGTTGCGGTTCTGGAAAATCTTGTGAAGGCAGAGACTACATTCAGCTCTGCTAGCTACCCACTGAACAACACCCCCCCAATGTGGGTGGAAGTCTCAAAATGTCCACATTCCTCTGGCATTCCTATGAATTGTTGACCAAATCTTAGTACTGTATCTGGAACACAGATCAAGGGAGATATTAATGAAGCATTCTCAATTCACGGTTGAACTAATGTAATTTGTGGATTTCCTTCACTACCTGCACATGCCCTTCTTCCTCCTCAGTACACTAACTTCTGGAGAGGCTGCATCAATCGCTCGCCTCCTTCCCTTCCCTCTTTCTTCCAAAACGAAGAGCTTGCTCCGGAATCCAGTTCCTACGGGATCCGATCCATCTCTTCCTTNCCCCCCCCCCCGCGATTCTGTTGCTCCCGAGTCTTGCCTTGCCAAAAAAAGCTCCAGGCATCTCCCATGCCTTTGTACTGGGGATTGAGAGGGGAGGAGAAAAATCGCAGGAAAGCTGGGAAAAGAAAGGAGAAAGGGGGGAGAGCGGAGGGGCAGGGGGCTTGGGGGGAGGGGAGGAAGCCAGGACCTCAACTCCAACTACAGCCATTTCTGAGTGGCTGGAGCTCGCCGGAGAAAGGCGACTGCGCTCCCCCATTTTGTGAATCTCCTCCTGTCACCAGCGCCTCCTCGCTCTCTCGTCCTCAGACATTTTAAGGGCCGCTCCTCAAACGCCCACCGCTCCGATTCGAGCGTTACGTCTTGGGGAGCGCAACCGACCGTGCCTCTCTACAGCAAGGCAACCTCCGACCTTGCTCTTCTTTCTTAGAGCTTTGGAGTCAAACCCCCTCTGGCTCGCGTGGGGTTTACTCCCAAGTAAAAGTGCAAGCGGGTGGAAGTTGCCAACGACACACCCACACGCGGGATCCTCTGCAACCCTACCACCTTAGTGTATCCGGGTTTATTTTGCGCGTACTCCGGGACTCTCAAGGAGGCGAAGGCCCAAGTGTGTGCATGTGGGGGGGGGGAGTTTATCTTCCTCCACGGACCCCCTCCCTTTTTCCATGCACTCCCTCGCCTCCATTTCTCTCCCGGGTTCCTCCCTCGTCTCCCTCACACACGGCTCTCCCCACCCCCTCCGTTCCACGTCTCCTTTTCCAAAAGGCGTTACATAATGCGCCCCGACTTGTGCGCCCTCCCCGTCCTTTTGCTTCCAGCCCAAATATGTGCTTTTTAATTTAATTTTATTTTTTTTGAGGCGGGGGTGCGCGCGCGGAGTCCGCACCGGGTGCCATCGATGCGCTCCTGGGCGCACGGAGAGCTGGTGG